CCCCCCAGACCAGCTGCCAGAGCCAAGTCTTCACATCCCTCAGAAAGGCCTGGAGTGAGGGGGCTTGTCTCACCTCCGGGGGCAAGATGTTCCAAAGGGCGGGGGCTATAGCAGAGAAGGCCCGCCTTCTGGACCCCGCTAATCGGAGTTCTTTTACCGAAGGGGTCGAGAGCATGCCCTCTCTGTGAGATCGGGGGGATAGGTTGAAATTGTGGGGGCGATGCTGGATATTGCCCAGCATCCAAAATGGCATATATGCCATCTGGCCTGGAATCATGTAGAACATATGAAGCTTTTAAATATTTGGAACTTGTGTTCTGGATATTCGGTTTGTGGAAATGATTTCTGAATTTGTAACCAAGAATGCATAGAGAAGAGACACCGCTATTTTCTTGTGCAATGAGGGAAACAGTATTGATGATCAGCCACAAGGGTGCTTCATGTGAAACTATAGCTCAATGATTTTGTGGCACTCAACAACGTAATTATAAAGATTGCAACTCATTAGAAAGTTCTAATCTAAAACCTTAAGAACCCCCTTACTGGCATTAAGTTATGCACCAAAACCAGGTTACAGTGAAATTCAGAGCACAGAGTAATTGGAACTTACACTCCAACATATTACTGACAAAGATAACAGTGCCTTCAGAGTCAATTGGCTATCTTTATTAAACTAGTCTAATTAAATAAGTACCTTTGAAGACCCTTTTGTAGAGCAATAAAGTCCAGATTTCCTCAGACAACCATACAGCTTCTTCCATGATTTTCTTCCCAATTCTTTCACATGTAAAAACCCTTGAATTTCTGGACAACTACTTGAATTTAAAAATTTCTGTTGAAGATAAATGGAAATTTGAATTCTATAATTACAAAGAAAGAAGTACATGCAAGAGCTATTACTTACTGGTTATTGTACCAGTACAAATTTTCATGCTGAAAATTTAAAAAACTGTGCCACCTTAAAATGACAGCCAGACACTTCAATAGAGAAGAGATTTTCTAATTTATTTCCCTAGGAAAATATTATTAAAATAATAAATAATTCTAGAATCTACTGCCCAATATAACCATCATGTTATAAGTGGAAATTATTGTGGTTGTAGATACAGGGGCATAATACGATTCCAAATACAGCCAACAACATAGCTCCTAGAATTGAGACAATAGTAGCATGTTGTTATTCTACAATGATCAAATCTGTATAATCTATGTTTGTCATATTCCCTCTTCAGATATGTTTTAAAAAAAAAAAAAAACATGTTGACAAGGGATGCACTGTTCATACATCATGTCAGGCTTCCCCAGCCTGCTGCCTACAGATATTACTAAAATTTAATCTCCAAAATATCTAGTAAACAAACTGGCTAGCAATTCTGAGAACTCTAATCCAACATATCTTGGCAGAACCATACTGGAAAAAGCTGAACTTTGCTAAGGTTAAAAAACTCTGTATTGGCTTTGAACAGTATCATATTAACATTTCTGTAGGGTTACTGAGAGCCAGTTTGCTGTAGTGGTTGAGGCATCAGACTAGAAACCAGGAGTCTGTGAGTTCTAGTCCTGCCTTAGACACAAAGGCAGCCGGGTGACTTTGGGTCAGTCACTCCCTCTCAGCCCTAGGAAGCAGGCGATAGCAAACCATTTCCAAAATCTTGCCAAGAAAATTGCAGAGACTATTCCAGGCAGTTGCCAGGAGTCAAGACTGACTCGAAGGCACCAAAAAAAAAAAAAAAGTGTGGGGGGTTACTAAACATGTACTACAGCAGAAGTATAATTATTCCATAATTTTAAGCAGGTATGTGTATCTTAATCCATTTTATCTACACTTTTACTAATGCTTTTTTCTAGTGTTACAGGAAAACATTATTTGCAATTTTCAGAATCACTTCTTTTAGAAGGAAATTCTGTGAATGAATTAGATATGTGGTAACTGTATGTTGATTGAAAATCTTACTAGCTGACCTTATGTAGTTTATCCTTCTTTGCAAAGCCTTAGAGAAAAGAATAAAATCTATGATTAAAGGCAATTTTCAACAGAACTTTTCCTTTTACTCTTTTTTTCCAATGGATATGTCCTGCTTCAACAACTTGTTTCCTCAGGCCTTCTTTTACTTTGGATGAGGTGGCACTGTTCCTGAAGAAGCAGTGAACACCCACAGAGCAGAATAATACCAATGTAACATTAGCTGCAGTTGGTAGCCGTGTCCAATTCAAGGTGCTGCTCATTACATATAAAGCTTTTTATGGATCCTTGTTACTTCCAGTAGATACAAGTAGATTCACAAGTAGATTCAATACAAGTATATTCACATACAAGTATGTGTTGATACAAGTAGATTCACATCCTGAGAGGGTATGCTAAGAGGGTATGGTAAGAATTGCCCCGTCTTGAAGTTAGTGAGGAGGGCACCTAGAACCAAGCTTCTTCTGTGGCAGCCTCCTTGCTCTGGAATAGTCTGTCCCGTGAGGTGAAGAAGGTACTGAAAACTACTCTCATCCAGTAAGCCTTGGGTAGGAAAGTAACACTGAACTAAAAGCATCTTAAATTGGAGTTAGCAATTGGCATGACACCCGAATTGTGACATTTTGGCACAGAGTGGAGTAGAAAGAAAAAAAATGTAGCGAGAAAATAGATTAGAATGCAATAATGTTATCAGGCTGCATATAAGATACCATTTTTTAAGGCTCACCAATCCAGACTTCTCCTCCAGTTTACCTCTCATCCTGAATATCAAGAGATCTGTCAACCCTACTTAGCCCTAGTTAACAACTGCTGTTTTACTGGCTTTTGCAAGTGTTTAGGCGAATCATATTAAAGTCTGTTTCCCTTGTCTCTTCTGTAAGGAAAATAACATTTGGCCACACATTGTACATTGAAAGGCCCCAAAGTATTTTAAACAAAAATTCAGAAATGTATTTCAAAGCCCATGCTGCAATAATTCAAATTCAGCACTGTGCTAGTCCAGTGCTTGTCAAGTCTTAACATATTCCTCCTTCTATCCCATCTATTCTGTCACATATCGTTTATTACCTCCTTTGCTCAACTTCGAAAGCAACTACATTGCCATAAAAGCTTACCTGTAAGAGTTGTGATTGTGGAATATAGCCATTTGACTGCTGACACCAAGCAATCATCTGTTCTGGAAAAAAATTCTGGGGTGGGGAGAGACAGTAATATCTGATAATAACTTGCTGTTAAAATACATCCAACTAATTTAGTACGCATACCAATGTATTAAAAAATCTGAGTACATTTTGCTGAGTTGTTTTTATTATTTGATATATACCTTGCCTTTGTGCTCGAACAAGCACTCAAGGCAGCTAACGAAATCTATCCCATAATATGGATCTATCTTTTCAATCACAGCAGCATGGCTATTTGCACAGATCTTTCTAAAAATAACTATCTAGTTGGACATAAGGAACAACAAGCCACGTCTCAGATACCTATGTAACTGCTCCCACATAGATGGTTTTGAAACTCAACATTACAGCAATGCCATGTGTTGAATCACAACATACCCATTTAACACCCACAACAGGAATTACAGCAGCTACTGTAAATATATGCAAATGGGATGATTAAGATACAGATATAGTTAATTTACTTTCCACTTCTGAAATACAGGAGTAGAATACCGAGTAATTTTTAAGGATGACGTACTATTTCTTTTCATGTTTTTAACAGAAATTCTACTATAATTTTTAATAGATCAATCACTATGAACTGTGATTGATATAATTAAAAAAAAACTGTACTGCTTGTTTTAGATGTCAGGTGAAAATATCGAAGTATCTTATATAGTTAGCCTATTGTTCCATGTTGTCTCATACTATGTGTTCTAATTGCTCATGGTTCTCTAAAGCTCTTCCTAGCCATTTTTAACTAAGATCAAAGGAGAATTTCCATGTTCAAGATGTGCAATCTACCACTAAGAATATATAGCTCCCCAAAATAGTACTGAGATATTACTTCGTCTTCCCCAAATGGATACTTGTTCACAAGATTGGCTTATAGATAAATATCAGCTGAAGGCAAAATGTTTTCGCATAAAAATTGGAATTATCTTTTTATAAAAGTAGTAAGAATTTTTTATATTGTTTTGTACTGGGAATTATTCCAATCATACACTGTAAGATTATTTCATATTAATATTATGATAAGAGTTGATACTGCACAGTTTGCAAAAACAAAGCAATTCTTTTCAGGACAACAGACTGTGACTACATAAGAGAAAACAGTAAGATACTCACCACAGGATTCTTAAAGAATTCATATTTTGCATAGTTCTTCCTAAATAAAAATTTACTTTCATTTCCCATGGTAGACTCAACTTGAACAATGAGTTCGTGATCTTCCAAGCATCTCTCTATAAGCAAAAGATAAAACAGACATTTTTCAGTTTGGTCAACTACAGGCAAGTATATGTTCATGGACCTGCATCTTCATACACAGAAGAGAGCATAATCAATGCTCCTAATAAATGCCTAAAATTTCCTCCAGATATAGACTTTCCAGAGTGCAACAGAACCTCTGAACATTATCTGCTACGGAATCTTTTCCATATCTATTGGATATTCCGTGTATACTATATATTTCAAATATTTTGTGTGTGTGTGCACGCGCGCCGTGCCTTCCAGTCAGTTTTAACTGCTGGCGACTGCCTGGAGTAGTCCCTGCAGTTTTCTTGGCAAGATATTTCAGAAGTGGTTTGCCATTGCTTTCTTCCTAGGGCTGAGAGAACATGACTGGCCCAAGATCACCCAGCTGGCTTCGTGCCTAAGGTGGGACAAGAATTCACGGTCTCCCAATTTCTAGCCTGGTGCCTTAACCACTACACCAAACTGGCTCTCTATTCCAAATCTTACCTGTTTATGATATAAATGTAAGTACGATCTAAATCTTTTGTTACTTCAACAAAACCCCTCATGAAGTGGTTTTTAAGCTTTAAAGGAACTCAAAGTTTTCCTAAGGATGCCACTTTAAAATCACTGTTTCCAGAAAACACTGTATTTTTCAGATAAATTTGATTTCTGAATTGAAAGATAATTCAATCTGAAAGGATTGCTTAAACTTCTGGATCTAGTGCCTCCAAGATACTGTACAGTTTTGGTAATGATGGTTAGCACTTATAGAAATCCAACATATCTGGACAGTTGATAGATCATAAATAGAAATTATCTATAAACTTAGAAAATATAGCCATCAACCTATGGTGTCTTGTTTACTTTGAAGTCAATGAAGTTATAAACATTTGGTAGCAAAACAAACGGCATGTGAGCCATATAATTATCAAACAATATTGAAAGCTACATGTTGAAAGAGATCTCTAATGAATATTGGTAAGTAAAAAAGCTAAGACTGAGACTTAATTAATCCTATTTAGCATAACTTATTATCTGCTATGGTAGCTTTTGTTTAATCTATCTAATATAAGGCTTTACCTGGCATCTGTAGGCAATAGGTATATAAGAATAAACTAAATGCAAGTAGGTTAAAAAATACAGTCAGGTCAAGAGGTTTACAATAAACACATACCATATTTGGACAAATGCCTGGCACTGGTGGAATCAACATATCCTCTGAGCTTGAACAGATAGGGTTTTTTTCTCCATTTGGTATAATTTCATGTGTTAGTAATCCCTTTCATTTCATGTGTCAATAAGTAACCTCATCTCCTTTCCCACAATCAATTCCAAATAAGGAAAAAGGAAGAAATAATAGATGCTTCTTGTCAATCCCATAATAATCCAAATAAGTGCATTTCAACTGACATTCATCACCACTGATCCATCTTGATCATATGCCAGATTAGGCTGTCCCCTTAGGCGCAGAAATACTCTGCTGTCTTTTGTCACCAGCATTAGGAGAGTGAGCATATTTTTCTACTAGTGTATTTATAAAACAAAGCTTTTAAGCTTTATCTTGTTGGATTTTTTTAAGCAAGGGTACATGCAATCTTGGTTTTGGAGTTTGGCCAACTCTGGATGTAGGGCAGCTAGTGGGAGAATTGTATAAAATTCGCTTATATATTTAGTAACGTTCTCACAAGTTTCATACTATTAACTTTGCCCCTTTTAAGTTTAACAAACGAAAAGAAGTATTTATCTTTTTTTTCTTTATTTTACTGTTTAATCACACAATATTTCCATGGATAATGGTAAGAGTACAACATTTAGAATTTAGTGGATTCTTTTTAAATAATCTTTGGAAGATTTGCCAGCTGAATAAAACTAATTCAAGTAACTGAAAAAAAAAGTGTGTATATGAGTGGAGGTGTTTATATGTAAAGTCTTTCTACTGATTGGTACAAAGTTTGTCCGAAACAGAAACTTTTACTCCTGACAGTTTTATGTCTAGATATATGTAGAATATATGTATATAGAACAAAGCAAGCAATATTTCTTGCTCCAATGTGCTGTTTAGTTAGTAACAGAGAATGCTGCTTGCAAGGGCATAGAGTAGTATGTTGCTCTTCTATGGGTAAAGGGGTTTGCCATCTCCTCTTAATTTATACAAAGAGGAAGATAACATTAAGTATTATTACTAAAAAAAAAAATGAAAATGAAATATCTGGAAGACCTTGTTTGGATTATACCAGAAATATGGGACACAAAGAATTAATGCTACAGGTAGATTAACAAAGAGATAAGGAAAGAGATAAAAAGAGAGATGAATGTAAAAAGGAGTATAAAGTACTGTTAAGGAATGTCCAAATTTTATTTAAAGGAAAGTGGCATCTATGAGCCTAACACAACAGTTTTATTTGAGGATTAGAAAGACACAAGAAGTTAATTAGAAAGGATAAACTGATTTCCCCAGATGATAATCAGGCCCTACAAAAGGAACTGGGCTCATTGGGGACAGATTTCCCTGCAGTGGTGAACAAAGTTGGCATTTTACATCTCACAACGTGAGATATGTAGCAGCTGTTAATTGCCATTGGATTTAAAATTGAGTCAGCCTTCTTTTCACACTAGTTTGTGGAGAGAAAGGGACCCTTCTCGTGGCTTGCTTACAGAGATGCATACGGGTCACTGGAATTTAGGGATGTTTTTCTCAGTACAAAGAATTCCAAGTCTGTCTCCAGAAATAGTATGCAGATCTGAAAACAGATTGTCTATGTTGTTTATGTAGTCTGTAGAATAGCAAGTATGATCAAGAAAGTAAGGATTGGGACTGGAATTTCACAAAATCTTTCAAGAATGGCTTCCATCCTTCCATCCAAAAAAGTACTGGCAAGGAATGCACACAGAGATATGAAAAACTGAAAGAGTTATCATAATGAAAGCCAAAGAAGCACAGAAGAATGCTGTGTATTTTTATTTTTCTCCATGGAAAATAATGGTTATACAAAATATATCCCAATTTTGATCTCTCTCAATTCCCCTCTTCCCATTCTAATCTCTCATTTGTGCCCCAAATTCTCAAACCACAGCTGCTGAGGGAGAGAAGGGTCATGTGCACCAGCCTTGCCCTTCCCTTCCCTTCCCTTCCCTTCCCTTCCCTTCCCTTCCCTTCCCCTCCCCTCCCCATTCAGCCAGGCCAAAATCCTTGACTTTTGCCCTGTCTTCCTTCCTCCCCCTTTGAACCACTCCTTCCTGAACAGTCATGTTTCAATGCATGTATAAGTTAAAACAGCCCCCTTCTGTTTCATCCATGGACCATAATCATAACATAATAATAATCATATATAATAATAAACATAATCATAACATAAACATAAACAGAAGTGGTCTCTATTGATCTCTATTAATCAGCGTGGGATTTGCTTCTGGATCATGGGGAAAAAGTGAATCTTTTTGTTTTTAAAAATCTGTGGCTTGGTATTTTCCCCCATTTTTTAAGGGAAATATACATTACAACAGCCAAACTTAACTGATTTACAAAAAGAGAAATGAAAACAATGGTGAACATATTTAAATAGCAACATTTTGGATTAGCTGTAGTTATATATACAAATAATTATGCTACCCTAGGTACAGATGGTTACCAGGATGAAGAAAATATAAACAGACAATGTGAAATCTACAGGTAGTCCTTAGTTTACGACGGGCATTGGGACCAGAATTGCCATTGCTAAGCAACGTGGTTGTAAAGCGTGATGTCATGACCGTGCCACTTAGCAACAGCAGTTTTGGCAGTCCTGGTTGCCATCATTAAATGAGGACTGCATGGGTCGTTAAGCAAGGACCTCACATGACCGTGACTTCTGACTTCCTGATGGCTTCCCCATTGACTTTTCTTCTGGGAAGCTGACAGGGAATGTTAGATATCGCAATCATGTGACTGCTGCTTACAGTGACTTTGTAATTGCAAGCTGGGTGCTGAGCGCCTGGCTTGTGATCACATGACCACAGGAATGCCATGACGGCTGGAACTCCAAGGACCAGTCATTGGTACCACTCATTCAATGTTGTCACAAGTTCTAACAGATGCTGAACGAATGGACGTAAGCTGAGGACTACCTGTAATGGTTACTACACATTTAAAAAACAAGTAGCCACAAGCTAGATCAAATCTCTAATATAGCCTATTTTAATCCACTTCTCTGTAAAGTCCCAAACATGGCAACAAAATTCTTGAGTCTCCCAGTTGTTTCTGCTGAAATTTTGTCTGCTCTATAATACCTACAAGTAGTCCTCACTTAACAATGGTAATTGGGACCAGCAACTCCATCGCTAAGCGATGCAGTTGTAAAATGTGATATCATGTGACCATGCCAACTTACAACAGCAGTTGCGGTAGTCCCAGTTGCCACTGTTAGGCAAATCCTGCACGGTTGCAGCATCCCAGTCACATAATCTCCATTTGTGATCTCCTACTGGCTTCCCCATTGACTTTGCTGTCAGAAGCCACCAGTGAAGGTTACAAATGGTGATTATGTGACCGCGGGATGCTGCAACTATCATAATTGCGAGCTGGTTGCCAAGCACCTGAATCATAATCATGTGACCGTGGGGAAGCTGCAATGGCTGCAATTACGAGGAACAGTTGTAAGCCCGCCCCCCCCCCCCTGTTCAGCACTGTCATAACTTCAGTCACTGAACAAGTGGTCGTTCAACAAGGACTATCTTTTTTTTTTTTTTTTTAACTGCATCAACCAGAACTGAACAAAATATTCTAGATCATGAGGAGTTCTAACCACACTATGAAAGGGACATGGGTTATAGTAGTACTCAAAGTAATAATTTCTATATCCTTGGGGGTGGGAACTTCTTTTTTAACCCATTCCTTCCCAGGGGCTGAGAAAAATCAGTGTGAGCTTTACAGTGACAGGAAGATGAAGATAACTCAGGCTGGAGGAGTGGAGACTAAAAGAAAAACAAACCAACTATGGTGGAAGGGAAAAGAAAGTTAATTAGTATGTCATGCAGCTTCTCTTAGAGGAAATTATGACCACATATCTGTTTTCAGAAGGGAAAGAAACCAAATGCAATCTGAGGCTGCAGAACTTTCAGATATAGCCGGCCCCAAATTTAGCATCTATAACCCTATACAGTCTCGCAGAAAAGACCTCAAAAGCATCCTTTTTACTGTCCTTTCTGCATCTACCACCACCTAGCTGGCACAGAACTATGGCTCCTGTTCCCTGCTATCTGGCCCTTCAGAGAAAAAGTTCCTTTTCGTGGGCAAGAAACACTACAGCAGCCTTACTCAATCTGAGCACCCACTAGCCAAATGGACTCTACACTTTGCCAGAATTCTCAACAATAACCATGCTGCCTGGGTAACTCGGGAATTTGAAATTTCTTCATGGGGCAGTGGGGGCACCCAGATCGGGAAAGGCTGCATTAGAGCAAAGATGTCACAATAGGGACAATTTAAGTTTCATTCCTATACAAGAGAGAGACACAAATGATACAATAGAAGAGAAGTATACACTTTTTTTTAACCTGTGGTGCAGCATAGCTGTTAAGCAAATCCCCAGTTCAAAGCTTGACTCTGTTGACCTCACTAAACGGACCCAAGCAAGCCATTGTATTTCAGCCTTAGCCTTCCCGTCTGTAACAGGAACACAATAATACTTATATTATAGGTAAAGGATTTTCCCAGATAAAGGTTTTACATAAAGTGCTTTGAACATGTTAAATTATTACATGTATGCAAATCTTATTAACATGCTGTCAGGGCAATTCAAAACAAATATCCTGGATGTTAACATACACACTACTAAATTAGTGTCTAGCATTACAAAAACATGTCTCATGCTCTCAAGTTGACCTTTCCACTTTTTTCTTACAGTGAGACCTCAGAAAGGAGACCAGAAGCTTTTACCTCCATTGTTTAACTAACTGCAAGTTAGTTATGTGCACACATTTTGAAAAACTGAGGGTAATTTTAACTATGATTTACTGAAGCAACCAACTTCAAACCATAGGTTATGAAATTTGATTCAATAATCCACATGATAGTTCATAGTTTGAGTATCATGCCAAACCATGATTAAATGGAAAATGGAAACAAAACCCTCTGACCTAATTGTCCAAACTCCAAGCTACACAAAACTAGAGACAAGCATAGGCAACCCAGAATTACTCAACTGCAGAGTTTACGTGAGGTAATCAATCTTTCATTTTCAAAGAATTCACTTGGACTATAACTCTCACATATTTTATGAGTCCGGAATTTGTACAGCTTTGCTATCATAAAGGGATTTCAACAGAATTGAGGATGCAGTTGATAGTGATTGAAATACTGATAAAGATATTGTTTCTTATGATTGTTAACTACCAAGTTATTGGTGAGTGAACAAAAGCTTATTTCCTAATCAACTTCCTGGGGGATTCATTCACAAATATCACCCTACAGAATCTGACAACACAATTAATCACCATGGAAGCTACTGTGATATCACAGACATTGAACTATGGCATCACTGGATGAATCTGGCAAAAGAAAGACAATGGATACAAAAGAGAAACGCTTTTGTCTGCACAATACCTTGATAATTTTGAAAGGGAAAAGACTTATAAAAAGAACCTAGAATTTTAAAATTTCAGTCTGAGAGAATGAGAGAGAGAAAGAATACTATCAGTGCAACAGTTGTCTTCATATCCATTTATGAGTTTACTAGGATCTTTCCAAAAGTCTTACTATGCATTTTTTTAAAAAACAAGGTTCAAAAAGCTGGTTGATTCGTACTAGTTCACCACTGCTGCACTTGAAAGAATCCAAAGAGAGACAGAGATCACTATCTAAGATATTTTCAAGTATAAGGCATTAAAATTATTCTACTTGGTTGTTCTCTTACTGTAACCATGGTACCTTAATTTCAATAGGTGTAAGAACAGCTGCTTAAAAGCAGAGACTCCAAATCTATGCAAGATCCCCACATAATGCAACGTGAAGTGCGCTGCCATTTTCACTTCCATAAAATTAAATGTAAGGAAGCATAACCCTAGCTTGTGTCAGGCTAGTCTTAAGGAGACTTTAACGATGCCATGTGCTCAAATGTCCAAGCATCTCCACTGGTTTTTAGCTTGCAAGGAAATCTGACTCTCTACTAGAGATCCAAATATAAGTCCATACACTGCTGCAGTACAGACATGGCCCCCGAAAAGAAGTCATCAATGCAAGCAGAAATGTGTACATTACAGTATATGATCAAATTCCCATTAATGTCATGGAAGAAGTCAGATATATAATGATGCTTATTATTACCTAAAAGATTGGCAGCATACATCTGCCAATATTTAAATGCAGAGGAAATATATGCAAATATGAATATATTTTAAAAGTCCTGTTATTTATGAAACACACATACATACATCTCCTATGTTACTTAAATGCCTGTCAAATTTTTATATTTTTCCCTTTTCACTGGTAGGAATTTTTTCACATAATTTCTAACAGATTACCCCAGCAAAGTGGATCTATTTCCTTATTATTGGAAATTCAAGTTTATAACCAACTTCCTTTCTGTATTCCTTCATACCTAATCCTATGAGAGGGTGATGCTCCACTAGGGCCCAGCTGTTGTCATCCACACAATGACTTTTGTAAACGAGCAACTGGCAGAGGTCCCGGGCTGTCATATCTGCTAAGATCTCAACCACCTTGCAAGTCCCATCTTCACTAAAAACTTTTATATCCTGCAATACAAAAAAAAAAAAGATACACTTTACAGATAGCAGCAATATATTCCAAAAAACATTAAAAGAAAAAGAAACTGAACAGTTATTATACATAATCAATGTTAGGCACATTCTGGGTTATAACAATGAACCTCTGCACCCTGATGCAATAAAATGCTGCATCTTAGGCACTGTTCAAATTAAACCTATTTGAACAATTTATCTGGGTTTGGAATCATGAGCAGTAAAGCTATAAAGATCACACACACTACCCCATACATACAATGTATCTTTGCTAGAAAACCAAGAAGCTAAGAGTCTCAGAAAAATGAGTTCTTACAACTATTTCAATATGAATATTAAATGCAATACAAGGCTTCAAACTATTGGCACGGGTGGGGAGGGGACAAGATTAATCACATACTCTCCACTTCAAGGTCTTTTGCACTAGAGTGTTTTACCACCCCCCCAAAAATCAACGATTATTAGTTAAAACACACCTATCTTGTTTAGTACTAAAGTTTGTCTAATTTGGAATTGAAATTATTTAAAACAGATTAGTTGCAAGCACTAGTTACACTTCCTCCACCCCTGTATCACAAAATCCAATACTTTCTTGCAACTAAATATACTAATAATTAAAAATAATAAAAACAGAATTAAAAAATAAACACATTATCCTTAATCATGAATAAGATGAGATTGTAGTCTGCTGGCAACCTATGAATCTTCATTAAATGGGTAATTCCCCATTACTGATTAATACTGTTTTAACCAGTGTTAATAAATAGTATTAACTCTGCAAAAAGAATCCCCAAAGACTCCCACTGACAGGTTTAACCTTGTATTAAGATTTAGCCCTGTATTAACTTCATATTCTAATTTGGGGGAGGAAGGAGGAAAAGAAAGCACCTTACCTCACCAGTATGCACAAAGCAGCAGTCAGGAGAACAAGATGGCATTTTAAAATATAGATTTCTTGTTCAGAAAGGTTGTTCTCTGCCTCTTCCAGCCCTTTGAAACTCCCAGCTCAAGCAACTCAGGTTATTTCAATGGATCAGTGTCAGCAAGCCCTGGTGGTGTGTGCACCATTTTCTGGGGGAGGCAGGGAGCTCTCCAGAGCTTCCCTTAAAGGGTTACACACAATCTTTTAGGTAGTGAATCAAACCACACGGTACAGACCAATCCTAGCCCTTTTTGTGACTGATGTAATCATTTCCACAGAACTCACAGACGTCCAAATTATGCCCCCCAGGAAGAATTTTCTTCCTTTATGACCACCCACATGCATTTAAAAAAAGAACAGCACCCAAACCAGAAATCATTCGCCAGGATCACAAAAGTTGAAAAGAGCAAAATTCTGCAGCCCAAACTCAACCTCCTCCTTGAACTGCTGATCTCTTTCCCAAATCCCTCTCCATTCCCCACCTTATGGAAGCAGCTGATGTCATCTGTTTGCAAGTTAAGCCCTTGAACTTCTCCAAAGCTTCTAATACTACTTTCCCCCAACAAGCTCTCTCCCCCTCTGCTTCTCCGAAGCTCAGCAATGGCTTTCAAGGGGGCTGATGAGCCATCATAAATTCAAAAGATTCACCTGGCCATTCCAGCTGAACTCTTGTGTTATACTGTGTATTTAAGAATGGGACCCCACACTGCCTTAGCAGTCATATTAATCTAATGTCTCAAGAGCCACTTCTCCATTCAGCAGAGAATTGCATGTGCACGGAGAGGCATGATTAGGGAGGAGTTAAAGTTTAAATGGGAAGAAAAAAACCCACTCAAAGCTGGTGCATTCAGGAAACAGCATCTTTTGACAAGCGGGATGAGCCAGCTCTTTCAGAAGGAGGGGGAAGGGGAATCCTTATTAACGTATCTCTGAAAAGTGTTCCAGCTTCATTAAATTCCTGCACATCCAAAAATAAGTTTTTTTTAAAAAAAACTACCCTAGAAATAACTGCACCTCAAAGTTTTGTGTATATACTGGTAAGCTTCTTTTTAAAATCAGGATCTTGGGGACTTTATTTTCCACAATCTAGAGGCAAAATATTTTGTATTCAACTGGATGTAGCCTAACTAAGTCAGGTGCAAGTGCTTTAATGGAAATATTACTGGTAGAAAACAGATGTATTATGTGTAGTCATTGCTGGGGGCAGCCAAAGAATAAAGGTATTTCCTGAAAAATCTGCTCATTAGCAGCAGCAACATCAGTAGCCTTTTTAAAAGTTCCCTTCTTTCCCTTATAGGAATTCATTTCAGAAGGGTGACCAGGTAAACTTATTACAGCAAAAATAACAATGTTTTATAGAACTTTAAAGTAACCAATAGAGTATGGCATAGATTTAGGTGTAATGTAATCAAATCAACTGCTGCCCAAATTTTACTTTATAGATTGCATATGAACAAAATTTTCCATCACAGGGAACTAGAAAGAGAGAGATGGGAAAGAGATTACCAAAGTACCAAACATGTTTCACATATTGTTTACTAATTGTTATGTTACATATATCACCTGCAAATATTATCTCTATATCACAATTACTAGGCTGAGAATGACAGACAGTGGCTATCTACTGAGGTCACAGCTGGGAAAAGTTTTAACTGAGGGACTCACAGTTCACACTGAACCAGTACACTCACTCATTCACCAAATCTCAAGGGAATAATGCTGACATTTATGGAGGACTTCCATAATTCTGAAATCAGCAGCATTTCAAAGTAAATTCAATTAATACATGTATACGTAATTGTCTGAATAAATCATATATTTAAGTGTTATATATCAAGTCAGATTATGCATAACATGTTGGAAAGTGGGATAACTTTTGTAAAAGTGCAACTCATCTAAAAATCTTTAATTACTAGATTAAGTTGTACTCATGCCCTCTTCTAGGATAGCTTAAAAAATGCTTTCTGGAACAAATGCAGGCTGACCTGTCACGGAGGGGCAGGCAGAGTCCTCCGATGGACAGAACAGCCTTTCACTGATGGGCAGCCAGAGCAACCCATCAGCAGTTACTAGCTTATGGGCCATCTTGCCCATCTTCCCCATAACTGCAAAGAAAATTGTGGAAAAGCATGCTATTGATTCCATAAGTCAAGCAGACCTCGAATCCATGTCATCATCATTTCTTTAATCAAGAACTTCCATTGCTATGAAAACTGACTTTAAATCTATACATGAGAAGTGCTTGCAGTCAACAATGAATTCAGTTGATGCCATCAGCAATACTTGAAGATTTCAAAACATTCATTTCTACTCAAATGTGATTGATCTTCAAATCTTCAATCACAGAACCTTGGAAAAATGTCTATTAACTTTCTTGGAGAGTAAAACTCACTGACCTGATCATTACTCTCTTGCTGCCTCAATCAAAGGAAAAACAGTAAAGGCTTCAGCCAATTTTGCCTGGTCTACAGCCAAATGTTTTGAGAAATTTGTTCATGCTGGCACCTACATTAGGGCCATAAGAAACTATGAGGTGTTGTTCTTGTTGTCATTTTAATTGTTTAAAACTTTATATACTTGCTGTTATATTATTTATTGCCTTAGCTTATTCATTCATTTTAATTATACACTGTAATTTTAATTTTTACACCATAAATGGTATCCAAATAAATATAAATAACACATCTTAGGATGTTAAAAAGTGCTGCCCCAAATTTCCATTTCCCCCAAAAAAGAAACAGAAAAAAAATCCCTTTAAAATGTCTGAAAATGATCAATAATGAAGCTCAAGCTCAGATACTTTGGTCACCTAATGCGAAGAGAGATCTCTTTGGAGAAGACCCTGATGCTGGGAAAGATTGAAGGCAAAGGTAGAAGAGGTCGGCAGAGGATGAGATGGTTAGATAGCAACACTGAAGCAATG